ACAATAAATCAAAAAATTAGCCGGGCATGGTGGCGTGTGCCTGTAGTTCCAGCTACTTGGCAGGCTGAGGCAGAAGGATCGCGAGGGCCCAGTAGGTCAAGGGTACGGTGGCCATGAGCATGCCACTGCACTCCAGCCTGGGTGACAGAGTGAGACACTGGCTGGAAACAGCAAAAAAGAAAGAAAGAAAAGAAAAGAGGTTTTCTGGGCTCAGATTCTGAGGGCTGGAAAGTCTGAGGCTGGGCAGCTGCACCTGCAGCTGCAAGGGCTGCCCACAGGCTGTCTCCATTCATGGTAGGACAGCAGAAGAGGAGCGGGTGTGCGCAGAGTAAAAGAAGACCAAGGAAGCCAGGTTCCTTTTCACAGCTGGCTCTTTCTAGAATCGTTCCGAGTGAGAACTCACCCCCAAATGAAGGCATTATTCTATTCATGAGGAAGCTGTCTCCATGACCCAGACACCTCCCATTAGGGCCCCTCTCCCAGCACCACCACATTAGGGAGCAAATTTCTTTTTTATTTTTTAAATTTTTTTTTTTTGAGTTGGAGTATTGCTCTGTCGCCCAGACTGGAGTGCAGTGGCCGCTCCTGGCCACCGCAGCCTCAACCTGCTGGGCTCCGGCGATCCTTCCACCTCAGCCTTCCGAGTAGCCGGAATTACAGGCATGCGCTACCATGCCCGGCTGATTTTTTGATTTATTGTAGAGATGAGGTCTCGCTGCCCAGGCAGGTCTCGAACCCGCGGGCTCAGGCAATCCACTCACCTCAGCCTCCCAAAGGCGCGGGATTACAGGCTGAGCCACCGAGCCCGGCTTCTTTTTTATTTTTAAGTTGGAGTTTCACTCTGTCACCCAGGCTGGCGTGCGGTGGTACGACCATGGCTCACCACAGCCTCAACTTCCTGGGCTCAGGCGACCCTTCTGCCTCAGTCTCCCTAGTAGCCGGGACTACAAGCGTAGACCACCATGCCTGGCTAATTTTTTGATTTTTTTTTTTTTTTTGTAGAGATGAGCTCTCACTGTTGCCCAGGCTGGCCTGAAACTCCTGAGCTCAAGTGATCCTCCCGCCTCCGCCTCCAAAAGTGCTGGGATTACAGGCATGAGCCACTGCCTCCAGTGGGGGAGCAAATTTTAACATGAGTTAACATTCAAAACATAACAACCTGTAAGAAGGGGATTTGGAACTTGAGAGTCCCTGGTGAGGCTGAAGCTGGAGGCCGTGATCCTCAATCCTCGAGGGAAGATGGATTCGGGGCAAAACTGAAGGGACCAGAGATTGGAATGTTCCACAGACATCTCCAGCTTAATTTGCCCAAAACAGGCCTGACTTTTCCCAAAAATACTCCCTTTGAATCCTCTCGGTCATGGCCTTGTCACTCGCCATCCGTCCCCGCTCCTGCCTCCGCACGAGCTGCTGCCCTCCACGCAGCCGGCGCGCGACTCTAAGGGCTCACTCCACGGAGGCGGCGGGACAGGGTGGCCCAGCGGGGGGACCCTCCCTTTTCCCAGGGACCTCACTTCCCTCCTGCGTCTGTAACCCCATTTCCCTGGAACCTTTGCGAACAGGTTGCGAAACCGACTTCCTCGCTCAGGGACTCTGTTTCCCACTCCCCGGGGGCTGGAGCGGTCAGGGCCTTTTGTCGCCGCGGTCCACAGGGGTAGGGACCAGACAAAGGTAAGCCCCCCCCCGCGGACCCTGGAGGAACTACAGAGCCCAGGAAGCCTCGGGGCTGGCTCGCCCGCGAGTGGGCGGGCCGGCGCCGCACAGCTCGCCGGGAGTTGTAGTCCACGGCCCTCGCAGAGGACGAGCGCCACCCTCCG